TTCGGATGCTTGACACCTGGTTCATCTTTATGACGGTTGCAAGGAGGTGTCTTGGTCTTTTTTTATTTCCTCTTTAGATTTTTGATCACCTCTTTTGAATGGTATGCAGATGTTGTTTATCCCTATGTACCAGCTGATGGCAGGGGCGCGGTGGCTCAGTGGCTAAGATGCTGAGCTTGTCGATCGGAAGGTCGGCAGTTCAGCGGTTCGAATCCCTAGCGCCGCGTAACGGGGTGAGCTCCCGTGACTTGTCCCAGCTTCTGCCAACCTAGGAGTTCGAAAGCATGTAAAAAATGCAAGTAGAAAAATAGGGACCATCTTTGGTGGGAAAGTAACAGCGTTCCGTGTGCCTTTGGCATTTAGTCATGCCGGCCACATGACCATGGAGACATCTTCGGACAGCGCTGGCTCTTCGGTTTTGAAATGGAGATGAGCACCGCCCCCTAGAGTCGGGAACGATTAGCACATATGTGCAAGGGGAACCTTTGCCTTTACCTTTACCAGTTGATGGCAGATATGTCTGACTGTCAGGCCACCAGGAATTCTCTAGCCTGACACTCAAACAAAATCAGCCATCAACAGGCACATAGAAATTTAATTTAATTTAATTTAATTTCCAATTTATATACCGCCCTTCTCCCTGAGGACTCAGGGCGGTGTACAGCCAAGATAAAAAACATAGAATACAAATATTAAAACATTTAAAAATATATATAAATTTTGGCCCGAAAGTTAAGAATCACAAACTAATTAAAAGAATTTAAAAATTTCTTCTAAGCCAACCCGGCTTGCTGAAAAAGATGGGTTTTCAGGGAACGATGGAAGGCATTGAGGTCATGGATTCTTCTTATCTCCGGGGGCAACTGATTCCAGAGGGTGGGAGCCCCCACAGAGAAGGCCCTCCCCCTGGGGGCCACCAGCCTACATTGTTTGGCTGATGGCACCGTGAGGAGGCCCTCTCTGTGGGAGCGCATGGGTCGATGGGAGGTCGTCGGTAGCAGCAGGCGGTCTCGGAGATAGCTAGGCCCTATGCCATGGAGTGCTTTAAAGGTGATAACCAACACCTTGAAGAACACCCGGAAGACCACCGGGAGCCAGTGCAGCTCGCGCAGGAGCGGTGTTACATGGGAGCGCCATGTTGCTCCCATCACTACCCGCGCTGCTGCGTTCTGGACCAGCTGGAGCCTCCGGGTGCTCTTCAAGGGGAGCCCCATGTAGAGAGCGTTGCAGTAGTCAAGGCGAGAGGTGACGAGGGCGTGAGTGACTGTGCACAAGGAATCCCGATCAAGAAAGGGCTGCAACTGGCGAATCAGGCGAACCTGATAAAAGGTCCCCCTGGTAACAGCCGTTAGATGTTCCTCCAAAGACAGCTGCCTATCCAGGAGGACTCCCAGATTGCGAGCCCTTTCAGTGGGGGCCAAAGACTCGCCCCCAATAGTCAGCGATGGAGTCAACTGACTATATCGGGATGCCGGGAGCCACAGCCACTTAGTCTTGGAAGGGTTGAGCCTGAGCCTGTTCCTCCCCATCCAGATCCGCACAGCCTCCAGGCACTGGGACATCACTTCAAGGGCATCGTTGGGGTGGCCTGGGGTGGAGATGTACAGCTGGGTGTCATCAGCGTACTGGTGGTATCTCACCCCAAAGCCACGGATGATCTCGCCCAGCGGCTTCACATAAATGTTGAACAGAAGGGGCGAGAGGACTGATCCCTGCGGCACTCCACAGATGAGAGGCCTCGAGGTCGACCTCTGCCCCCCTGCCAACACAAACTGCGACCGGTCGGAGAGAAAGGAGGAGAACCACCGCAACACAGTGCCTCCCACCCCCAACTCTTCCAGCCGGTGCAGCATGATACCATGGTTGATGGTATCAAAAGCCGCTGAGAGATCTAATAGGACCAGAACAGAGGAATAACCCCTGTCCCGAGCCCTCCAGAGATCATCCACCAACGCGACCAATGCCGTTTCCGTGCTGTGCCCAGACCTGAAACCCGACTGGAACGGATCTAGATAGGATGCACAACAGCTTAAAAAAATTAGGTACAACAGCTTAATCAAGGAACCACCAAGAACATTCCCACCAATATTGACAGGGCAAACCACTTTTTATATAAACAGAGAGCAAATCCCACTCCCTTCTAGCATTGGAGATGTTACCTGGTTGGGCAATGAAATATCTGCAAGAAGGCAACCAAATTCAGAGAACACCAAGGACCCTCCACTTCAACCCAGAGCTACAAATATTCTCTTTTACCAAATTTAGCAAACTAGGCCTGCAAGGAGGACGAAGATGGATGGAAACGGATCAAGGAGAGATTCAACCTAGAAATAAGAAGAAATTTTCTGACAATGAGAACAATCAACCAATGGAACAGAAGTTGCCTTCAGAAGTTGTGGGTGCTTCATCCCTGGAAGCTTTCAAGAAGAGACTGGACAGCCACTTGTCTCCTGCTTGAACAAGGGATTGGACTACATGACTAGATGATCTCCAAAGTCCCTTCCAACTCTTTCTGTACTCTGTATACTGTCTTTCTTGGAGAAAGCATTACACCAGGTTTGAAGTGTGAAGTCTGGTCCTGTAAGAAAGAGAAATGCTTCTTCTCTGTGGTCCATTTCATCTTTCAAGCCATTAACAAAATAACAAGAGTTGGAAGGGACCTTGGAGGTCTTCTAATCCAACTCCCTGCTCAGGCAGGAAATCCTATAACAATCCAGACAAGTTGCTATCTAATTTCTTCTTAAAAACCTTCAGTGATGGAGCAGCCACAACTTCTGAAGGCAAGCTGTTCCACTGGTTTATTGCCCTCACTGTTAGGAAGTTTCTCCTTAATTCCAGGTTGCTTCTCTTCTTGATAAGTTTCCACCCATTGCTTCTTGTCCTGCCTTGTCAGGTGCTTTGGAGAATAGCTTGACTCCCTCTTCTTTGTGGCAACCCCTGAAATACTGGAAGACTACTATCATGTCTCCCCTAGTCCTTCTTTTCATTAAACTAGACATAGGGGTCTGCAACCTTAAACACTCAGAGAGCCATTTGGACCTATTTCCCACAGAAAAGAAAACACCGGGAGCCACAAAACCCTTCCTGTGCCTGACTATTTCTTGGGCGGCCACAAAATTAGCAGATGTAGTTGAATTAAACATTCTGTTTTCTTCTGAAACTTTTCTTTTCTTGGATTTATCCATGGTTGGCCTACCGGGGGTTGAAAAGCTCAATAAATGGCGTCCCGGCAGGTGTCGCACATTGGTGGTTGTGATGCATATTTTGAGTGACAGGGAGCCACAGCAGAGGGGTGAAAGAGCCACATGCGGCTCCAGAGCCGCAGGTTGCTGACCCCTGAACTAGACATACCCAATTCCATCAACCATTCTTCATTTGTTTTAGCCTACAGTCCCCTATCAGTGGTGGGATTCAGCCGGTTCTGTCTGGTTCGGGTGAACTAGTAGTGGCGACTGCGGGAGGCTCCGCCCACCTGCCCGGATGTAATGCGCGAGCACTGCATGCGCAGAAGGCCTTGCACATGTGCAGAGAAGGCGCAAACGAGCAAAGTGAACGTGCGAGCTCACGCGCCTACATTTGCAAACCGGTAGGGAAGGTAAGTGAATCCCATCTCTGCCCCTAATCATCTTTGTTGCTCTCCTCTGCACTCTTTCTAAAGTCTCACTATCTTTTTTTACATTGTGGTGACCAAAACCACATCTTTCATATGAACCTTTCATATGCGCTGTCTCCGACTGTATCCTTGGCATCACCTGGCAGGACGAAGTTCCAAATAGCGCAGTCTTGGAATGTGCTGGAATTTCTAGCATGTATACCCTGTTGAAACAGTGACGTCTACGCTGGCTGGGACATGTCGTGAGAATGGCTGATGGTCGGATTCCGAAAAATCTCCTGTATGGAGAATTAGTGCAGGGAAAGCGCCTCAGAGGGAGACCACAGCTACGATATAAGGATATCTGCAAGAGGGACCTGAAGGCCCTGGGAATAGACATTAACAACTGGGAAACCTTGACCTCCGATCGTTCAGCTTGGAGGCTAAAGACGCAGCATGGCCTCCTCCAATTCGAAGAGACACTTGTTCGGCAGACCGAGGCAAAGAGGCAGTCCCGGAACCAGCGAAATCCGGGGGCTGGGCAGGGGATCGAATGTATCTGCCCTCAGTGTGGAAGGGATTGCCGCTCTCGAATTGGCCTTTTCAGTCACACTAGATGCTGTTTTAGGACCTCTTTCCAGAGCACGATACCATAGTCCAGTGATGGCTAACCTTTTTGCCGTCGCGTGCCAAAAGCGGGGAGAGTGGGAGGGGATTGCATGCACATGTGCCCACACCCATTATTCAATGTGCCCGATCCCCCCATGCATGCATGTGTGACCCCCCCCCCCCCGCTCTCCCCCCGCTTTTGGCACTTGTAGGCCCGGTAGGCCCATTTTTTTGTCCTCCCCAGGCTCCAGAGGCTTTCTAGGAGCCTGGGGAGGGCAAAAACAGCCTTCCCCCAACCCCCGGAGGCCTTCCGGAGGCCCAGAAGCAGCCCGTTTCCCAACTTCCGGTGGGCCCAGAAGGCCTGAAAATCAGCTGGCCAGCGCACACATACGTGCTGGACTGAGGTAAGGCAACACTCACGTGCCCACTGATATGGCTCCGTGTGCCACCTGTGCCACCCGTGCCATAGGTTCGCCATCACGGCCATAGTCTCTTGAGACGGAAGGTTGCCAACGGTGACCAAAACTGGATGCAGTATTTATTCCAAGCGTGGCCTTACCAAAGCATTACAAAGTGGTATTAAAACAGTTCAGCCTGCTGAGTTAATGTTTAAGTCTAAACATGGTTTGAGGTCAATATTCCTCTTCTGCCATGTGTTTGCCTGGTTCTGGACCTTGGCTTCCTCTCAGCCAGGCCAAGGATGCCTGCTCTCTGACCTTTGCGTAGCAATTAATCATTGATCTCAAAAAATATATATATAAAGGGAAGCCATATATAAACACAGGGGTTGCATTCATCGACACCCCCCTCCCCACTTGCAATCCAGCCGTAGAAAACAAACCTTAAATGCACAATAACCTAGTGTGATTGTCAGGGAACTAAGATGAAGGCTGGGATTGTAAGCCTCCTACTGCTCCTGCTCACGTGTACCCATGGACTTCAGCGAGGTACGATTTTTATATTGATCCTATACATAACTTTGATTCTCTCTGATTCTCTGAAAAGAAAAAAAAGAGGGTAATTTTTCCTAGCCGACATAGAACAAGCAGAAAGGTGGAGAGAAATTTGGCTGACTGAGTTGGTAAACTGCATGGATTCTCTTGGGTCTTTGTTTTGCAGCAAGAAAAGAGTCATTAGTTATTGTTCAATGGTGTTCAGTTGTTTTTCGATGGTGAAAAAAAGGAAGGTTCTACATTTAGGCAAGAAAAACAAAATGCACAGGTGCAGTATAGGTGGTACCTCGCTCAATAGAAGCAACTGTGAGAGGGATCTTGGAGTCCTAGTGGACAACCATTTAGATATGAGCCAGCCGTGTGCAGCAGCTGCCAAAAAAGCCAACACAGTTCTGGGCTGCATAAACAGAGGGATAGAATCAAGATCACGTGAAGTATTAATAATACCACTTTATAAGGCCTTGGTAAGGCCACACTTGGAATTCTGCATTCAGTTTTGGTCGCCAGGATGTAAAAAAGATGTTGAGACTCTTGAAAGAGTGCAGAGAAGAGTAACAAAAATGATTAGGGGGCTGGAGGCTAAAACATCTGAAGAACGGTTGCAGGAACTGGGTATGTCTAGTTTAATGAAGAGAAGGACTAGGGGTGACATGATAGCAGTCTTCCAATATCTCAGGGGCTGCCACAAAGAAGAGGGAGTCAAGCTGTTCTCCAAAGCACCTGAGGGCAGGACAAGAAGCAATGGGTGGAAACTAATCAAGGAGAGAAGCAACCTAGAACTAAGGAGAAATTTCCTGACAGTGAGAACAATTAATCAGTGGAACAACTTGCCTCCAGAAGTTGTGAATGCTCCAACATTGGAAGTTTTCAAGAAGATGTTGGATAACCATTTGTCTGAAGTGGTGTAGGGTTTCCTGCCTAAGCAGGGAGTTGGACTAGAAGACCTCCAAGGTCTCTTCTAACTCTGTTATTCTGTTATTCTGTTCAGTTGCTAAAATGTGTCTGACTCTTCATGTCCCTATAGACCATAGTGCATCACCATCACCCCGTCCTCTACTATCTCCAAGTGTTTCCCCAAATTCATCTTCATTGCGTCGATGACCCTTATCTAACCCTCTCATCCTCCGTTGTCCCCTTCTCCTTTCGCCTTTCGTCTTTCCCAACGTCAGCGTCTTCTCCAGGAAGTCCTCTCTTCTCATTTAGGTGGCCAAAGGATTTGAGCTTCTACTTCTGCAACTGTCCTTCCAAAAAAAAAAAAAACAGTCAAGGTTGATGTCCTTCAGGATCGACTGATAGGATCTCAACAGTCTCTTCTCCTACAATTTGAAACCATCAATTCTTCAGCGTTCAGCCTTCCTTAGGGGATTCAAAAAAAACCCACAAAACAGCCTAATATTTAGCCAAATCTATTGGTGCTGTTTTAAATAACAGAGTAACAGAATAACTGAGTTGGAAGGGACTTTGAAGGTTTTCTATCCAACCCTTCACCACTTCAGACTAAAACCTGTTCTCCCAGTGTTCTTGTTCAGTCTCAGATTTTGGCTTGATTGATTTTGATTCCAGGTGTTCAAGAAGATGCTACATATTATCATATATGGTGGACATGCAAGAAAGTAAAGGCTTTTTGGATAAAAATTTGGTGGGTTATGCAAAATGTCTTGAAGAAAAAAATTCAATTTTCTTCTCAATTGTTTTTACTGGTTATAGTTAAGGGTTTTTCAGTGGGTGAAACAAAGTTGATATTGTATATGGTGACAGCAGCTAGGTTACTGATTGGTCAATATTGGAAAAGGGATGATATGCCTACAATTCAAGAATGGACTTTGAAGATGGCCAGTTTTGCAGAAATGGCGAAGATATCAGCATACTTAAAAGACCGGACTCAAGAGACTTATGTATGGGAGTGGAAGAAATGGATAGATTATGTGCAGAATAAATACCAAACTAGGAAGTACCAGATAGCTTTTAGCTAAATGTTGCGTAGAAATGTATAGTTTATAGGGGGCAAAATAGCTTATTGTTATGTAGAAATGTATAGTGCACAGGGGCGAGAATAGAGGGGTGGTAAAGTATGATATAATATAATGTGGATGGATTTCACCTTGGGGAAGTCACGGGGAGAGGGGAGGGTTTGGGGGGGTTAGGGAGGGATGGGGGGGAAATGGGGGAAAAATTGATATTTGTAAAACTTTTTCAATAAAAAAAAAAGAAAATACTGAACAGCCCTTTGTCTGGAATGCTATAGGGCAGTGATGGCTAACCTTTTTGCCAACGCGTGCCAGGAAGGGGGGGGCGTGGGAGGTTCGCAAGCATGCCCACACCCATAATTCTATGCGCCCTGCCTTGCGCATGAATGCATGACCTTCCTCCCCGCCCCCCGCTCCTGGCACACAATGGCCCGGTAGGCCCGTTTTTCTTTCTCACCTGGCTCCAGATCCTCTCTATGCATCTGGGGAGGGCAAAAACAGCCTTCCCCACCCCCTCAGAGGCCCGAAACGGCCCGTTTCCCAACTTCCGGTTGGACAGGAAGTGACATTTTTTGTTGTCCCCAGCCTCCAGAGTCTCCTAGAGAGGCTGAGCTGGCGTGCCAGGTGACATGGCTCCGTGTGCCACCTGTGGCACGGGTGCCATAGGTTCGCCATCACCGCTATAGGGTCTCCTACTTGAGCAGAGGGTTGGACTGAAGACCTCTGAGGTCCCTCCCAACCCAACATTATTCTATGTTCTATTTGTTTGGTATGAATGTGGGAAAAAGAAAAGAGACTTTCCTATTTTAGAGGGTTCAAAAATGGTCTGCAAAGAGAATGAATTTTAGAGAGAAACAGAAGGCTACTCAAGTTAGGAGGACATGACTTCAGATTCAAGTAGCACCAATATCTCATCATCATCATCATCATCATTTTAGCCATTGTTTATCTACTGCAGGAGGAAGGCCTTCTTCTGCATGTTTCCAACCCATACGGTCCTGAGCTTTCTTTTTCCAGTTGGGCCTGCCATACTTGCTGATGTCGTCAGTCCATCTTGTTTTAAATCTCTTTCATGGACACTTTTGATCCAGTGAGATCCAGTCCAGGGATGGGGCTGCTGGGAGTTCACAGGGGTTCGGGAGAACCTCTAGCTAAGATTCTGTAGAGTTTGGAGAAGCCCCAAATCCCACTCCTGGCTGGCCCCACCCATCCCTCCCCTCCCAGGAGTCCCCATGAGGCCCATTTTAGATGCAGGTAAGTGCAGGGCACGCACGGAGGCTCAAGGAGGGTGAAAAACAGGCCTATTGGAAGTTCAGGAAGGCCAGAAACAGCCCTCTTTCCGGCTACCAGAGGGTCTCCAGAGTCTGGGGTGGCCATTTTTGCCCTCCCAGAGGCTCAAGGAAAGCCTCCAGAGCCTGGGGAGGGTAACCCACCCCCGTGATGCAGGAGGCCAACTAGACCACGCCCACCATGGCCACACCTACCCAGCAACCGGGCAGAGAACCCCTTGCTAAAATTTTTGAAGCCCGCCCCTGATCCAGTCTATGACTGCCTTGGTCCATCTGCCGTCAATTCTCCTTGCTATGCGACCAGCCTATTTCCATTTCCATTCTTTTACTCTCTTGATGATATTGTAAACTTCCGTTTGTTCTCTAATCCATTCACAGGTCTTTGTATCTTGTCTCGTAATGCTGAGCATGTAACTTTCCGTGGCTCTTTGTGCCACTCGTAGCTTATGTGTCGATTGTGAGGTTAGTGTCCATGCTTCACCGGCATATGTTAGAGCGGGTAGCATGCACCGATCGAAAATTTTTCTCTTCAGGTAGACAGTAGTGGCCAAAATTGTGGAAACCTTTTGGGGAAAGTGTATTTTCTAAAACTAGCTAATAACACCACTTTTTTTTTTTTTGGAGTAGTACCATAACATTATATATCAATGGAAAGATAATTTAATCAAGAATGTAATGCAATAACTTTGATGAAGGATTTGCTCTTAGAATAGCAGTTACAGTATAAAGGAGAAAAGTGAAACACGTAGAAAAAACGAGATATACAAAAATGATCACCATGTCAGTTAATACTTAGTTGGGTATCCTTTAGCATGAATTAAGGCCTTACAATGTCTTCCCATGGAGTGAACCAAGTCTTTGAGTTCTGCAGCTGTTCTCATGTGAAACCAAGATTGAATGATGGCTTCTATTAACTGGGTTTTATTGCTGAGTCGCTTCTGACTAACAAGTTTCTTTACTCAGCTCCATAGATTTTCAATTGGGTGAAGGTCTGGGCTATTTCCAGGCCATTCCAGCAGTGGAATAGGATTATCTTGAATATCTATCTCTTGGACTGTGCAGAAATGTGCAGATTAACGTATGTTTTAAATGGAAAGGAAGACTCAGAATTCTATACGATCTGGGATCTGTGGTATAGGTGGTTGAAAAATAAATGCAAAAGTTAACTCTCATTAGGACAATGTATAATTATTAATTAATCTATATATTATTGTTGTATTATGTGTTCAATCTTACAAGGCTTATGTATAAACTGTATAATACCTAGATAATTGATTAGATTCCATATATGTAAATATACAAGATGACTACACGTTACCGAACCGTAGAGTTTGAAATGTAATACATTCTTTACTCAATAAAATTTCATTAAAAAAAAAAAAAAGGATTATTTTGAAATTCAAAAAAAAAAAAAAAAGTGGTGTTATTAGCTATCAAAACTCAAAAAATACACTTTTCCCAAAAGGTTTCCACAATTTTGGCCACTACTGTAGAAGGAAGCTGTTCTTGAAAATTATGCTTAGCACTGATATCTCTGGAACTTTTAACATGAGAAAAAGAGCAGCTGAGAGGCTCCTGGTTCTGTAATGAAAAAGGGGTGATAATTCTCCCGCTGACATTTTTCATTAAACCCCAACGGGTTTTTTTCCAGAGCTTAAGGGCTTCAAATTACCTGATAATTAATATTTCCATTACACTGGCATTAAAGCAGTCCGGCTCTGGCAAACCTCTAATTGGA